CCACAACTGAGACATAAAGGCTGGGCTGAGGCCAGCGTAGCGATGTCCTGTCAGGCTCCGTTACGAAGCCTCGGTTCCTAGTGTACAGCATTGGGTTCAGGGTTTAGGGTTTAGGGTAAGGCATTTTTCTTTCTTTCAGGGTAGTGGGCTTCTTGGTGGCTCTGCGATGCTGGCGCTCTCCAGAGAGACCACCTTAAGAAGGGAATGTACTGGCCTTGCTACTGCGTATGCCTGCATGCCTTAAAGGTGCAACCCATATCTCGGGCCTGGCTTATCTTGGATTCAAACTGAGGGCCCTAAACTGTCTAAGGCATATTCCGGGATCATACACCCTAAACCCTAAGCCCCCCTTGTGTGAGAGCATCTTGCGCAGGCGATGCCCTGTGCAACTGCCACGTCTTCCGACTTCCTTCGGGGCATGCCATCTAGGTTTTCGGGTTTTAGGGTTTAGGGTCACTGAAAACGTGCAGGTTGAAGCTGCAAGCTTTCGGCGTCAGGGATTCCGGGCTGCGGAGGGCTTGGGGGGGTCAGGCGCTTTAGGGTTCAGGAAGGTCCCCTAAACCCTAAACCCTGAACCCTAAACCCTAAACCCTTGTAGGGTTTTGGGCTAGGGAGGGATGTGCTGCGCACTGTCAAACCACTCTGGGGCGACTCTATGAACACGCTCCGACTGAGCAGTCTGCGGTGTAGGTTTAGGGTTTAGGGTTTAGGGTTTAGGGTTTAGGAAACCCGAAACCCTAAACCCTAAAGGTTCGCTATGGCAGGCCCCACGTGCATGCAAGAAAATGAAGGAGCCCAGGGTCTTGCAACGAAGTTCCTTCGGCTTCGGGCGAAGATCGTCATGAATCCGAGTTGTTTCGTTTTTCGGCTCCATCGTGCTCGTGTTGCATAAGCCGGAAGCCTTTCAATTAACCTTCGTCATCAACAGGACTTTCATAGCAGTGTTGAAGGCACCAGGTCCCCATCAGTTCCTTGACAGTTCAGGATCATTGTATGCCCCCCCCCCCCGGCCAGGCACAGGACAGCGATGGCAAGGACGGCTTATGCAACTTCCGGCATAATCCTCGTCGTGGTGTTCTGCCGAGCGAGTTGCCCTCATTGGAGTGTAAACGTCATCTGTCTGAGTATAGTTAAAACAGGGTTTGCCTGACCCACGAAATCCAAAACATTTCTAGACCAGGCCCTCGCCCTGTGCCGTGTCCTGAACACTCTTCTCTGGACCTCTACTCTTCAGCTCCACCAGATCCTCACAAGAATTACTCGGCTCCATTCTGCTCGATGAATTTTCCCTTGTTTCGGCATGACCAACAAAGAATGGAGTGTACAGGTACTCTCTAAACCCTAAGCCCTAAGCCCGAATCTACCGAGCACCAGCTTTGGGAGGAGGATGCCTGCTCCCCCGAAGAGAAGCAGGGCCTACTTGGAGGCATCATATGGTTTCTTCGCATTCCCCGCATCGAACAAAGGGGTGAGGGCTTAGGGTTTTTAGGAGCGTTCAACTTGGGACTGTCAGAACGCCCCCAAAGCCGTCCAATAGCCCTTGGTCCAGGAGGGATATTGAGCTTCCTCGGTTCCATCCTCATCAGAATTGGGGGCCATATGTGAGCGTACGACTTGTGTCCTTGATCCAGGCCAGAGGCTCGAAACAGTCTGCGCAGACATGGGAGCTGCGACTGGCTTCTTCACATAGGGTGCTACTTGGTATAGGGGTTTTGGGGTTTAGGGTTTAGGGATTAGGGTGCTATGAAGCACAAATCGTGTGTTGATGCCGTGCCTAGACGGTCAGCATGGTGCGTCGACTTCCTGTGAATCACGCCCGCTTGCTTCAGGCCCGCTGGATGACGACGATGACGAGGCCTGGCGACCGAGGGAAAACGTGAGTCTTCCATGGGCTCATAGAAGCTGCGAGCATTCTGCCGCGCAGGTGCAAACAGATCTCCCAGGGTACGCTTCACCTCTGGTAGACGGCGATGAGGATCGCGCTTCTTGCTTATGATGCTGAAAGTAATTCAAGAAGAGGCTGCCACAACCGCCTTCTAATCAACTCTCTGACTTTCCGCGACCCTGTGTGTGACAGAATGCCCAAATGTTTCACTGGGATCAAGGATGTAGGTAGGAGCGTCCAGCACCCTGAGATACGGTCATCTCCCATTACGCCAGAGTAGACCTCCATGCCGCCTATGTTCCCGGCATTCTTGGAGATTGCAGTCCTCAAGTGATGCGCGCTGCCTGCGAAGTCATCTTCCCAATGGTCACAGGGCACCTGTTGATTGATGGCAACGAAGTTCGCAGGACACTCCAACATTGCCTCAACTTTTTCCATCCTTCCAAGAATGACCCCAAGACGCGAGAGACCTACAGCAATGGGCGGCCGGACCTCCCATTGGTGGTCTTCCTGCGGCGTATGTCCCCAGAGAAGCAGGTGGACAAGATCGTGGACTTGGTGAAGGAAGCAAGCCCACCAGGTGAACCTGAGCTTTGCCGATTTGCCATCACTGGCCATGGCGTTTCCTGGGAGTCGATTCACACAGAGATGGAAGATCGACCAGGTGTGAACATGCCTGGGGTCGTCATCGAAGATCGGCTGGCATCTCTTGTTACTTCGTCGGACAAAGCCTAATATAGGGGCCTTGAAGGGTTTAGGGTTTAGGGTGTAGGGTTTAGGGTTTCGGGTTAGGGTTTCGGGTTTAGGGCGTTTAGGGCGTTTAGGGCGTTTAGGGTTTAGGGTTATTCATCGAAGCCCAAGCTCTGGGGATTGCGGTGGTGGGTCTCAGAACAAGTGCTCCACTTCGTAGGCGTCAAATCATTAAAGCTTCCTGTGGAAAAAGAATGCTCATCCTCAAAAAGACGAAGGGATGCTCTCGCAGTTTTTGCTCAGAAAAAGCGGACATGAAGAAAGGGCCGTCAGCCGAAACCCCTATGCCTACGAACCCTGCACCCCAGTGACAAAAAGCCTTACATCCCTAAACCCCTTAAACCCCTCAAACCCCTCAAACCCCTAAACCCCTAAACCCCCTACACCCCTAAACCCCTTACACCCCCGAACCCCTTACACCCCTAAACCCCTTACACCCCTAGACCCCTTAAACCCCTAAACCCCTTACACCCCTAAACCCCTTAGCCCTGAACCCTAAAACCCCCCTAAACCCTAAACCCCTTGCACCCCCAAACCCCCTTAAACCCCAAAACCCCTGAAACCTCTAAACCCGAAACCCCCACCCCTAACCCCCCTAAGCCCCTGAAACGCCTAGACCCTAAACCCCCCTAAACCCCTTACACCCCTAAACCCTAAACCCCTAGGGTGACCCGAAGCGAGGAGTCGGTGGCGGCGTTGATAAAGCTTCGACCGTCGGCTGCGGACTCTGTGGGTGTGGACCCCCGGCTTAGGGTTTAGGGTTTAGGGTTCTTGGGTTCTAGGGTTCTAGGGTTTAGGGTTTCGGGTTCAGGGTTTAGGGCGCTGGTTTTGGGGTTTGAGAAGGCCTAAGGGTTTGGCTTAGTGCCTCATAGTCATGGAAGGGCCTTATCATTCAGAAATTTTCTTAGTGAGGCCCCGAGCTAGTTTATGAGCCACGTTCCGAGGCTCAGGGATGCATTTAGTAACCCTAGGCCCTAAATTTAGAGTTTAGGGTTTAGGGTTTAGGGTTTAGGGTTGTGAGGTTCGGAGTCTTCTGACGAAGGGGGTGTCCTATAGTTTGATATGGTTTCGGTTCAGGTGACACAACTGTTCAGACTGAAAACCGCTTCACTGGGGCAACGCATGACTTCCATGTGGTTTTCACATGGTTTAGGTTATGATTGGGTATGTTTGGGGGTGCCTGTTTTTGGTTATGATTTCGGTACGGTTTTTTGTCGAGTTTCGCATATCCAGGTTCGTGCCGGTATTCAGAATCGCCAGAATCGCATGCGAAATCGCATCCGAAGTCGCATCTAAAATCGTACAGACCTGCACATGCGTCAGTGTAAAATGCATTTTCTATACAATGCGATGTCAGCCACACCCCCCCCCCCCCTCCCCGCCCCCACATCCATCGCTAAGATGTATCGCTATCTCGTATCTACACCCACAAATCGAACTCATGAAAGATGTTATTTCACCCTTGTGAGCAGGTACTTGGAAACTCTTAGGTTCTTTAGGGGTTAGGGCCAGGCATGGTTTAGGCTTCCTCAACCTCACGCAAAAAACCTGCATGCTTTCGGACTCAACCGACTGTAGGCCCCAAGTTCCGCCGTCTTCCCTACACCCCAAAACTTTAAAACCCTAAGCCCTAAACCCCGTGGAGCTTGCTGTTGCAGAGAGTGCTTGCAGAACCCTAGACAGACCCTAGACCCTAGACCCTAAACCCTAAACCTGGACCCTTGTTGGCCAAGCATAGTGCGAGTGCACATCTTTGGGGGTGTGCCCCTGCCGTTTCTGAGAATCACATCGCGGCTGGAGTCGACACCCCCCTCAATTCTACCTACACACACACACACAAAAGATATACACATGTGTGTATATATATATATATATTTATTTATTTATTTATTTATATTTATATTTATATGTATATTTATCTATTAATATATATATATATATATATATATATATATGTGTGTGTGTGTGTGTGTTTATTTATTTATTTTTTTATGCAAAATATTCCAAAAATGTAGTACAATATAGAATTATAGTGAAATATAGTACCAAATAGGTAAATACATACGTATTTATATATATATATATATACACATAAAAAATATTATATATATACACGTCGGCAGCAGGCCCTGCCGGAGCAAATGGAACTTGGCGCACCACAACCAAGCTGGTGAAAGCTGCTTAGCATGTATCGCCTGGTCATCCACGCAGCTCCAAGGCATATAAGGCAGTTTGAAGAGCCCTTGCGTTCACACCGGGGTTTACGAAATTAGGAGTACATTATTGGGGGTCCTTACAAAAAAGGGATCCTACTATTTGGGGTCGTTTTTAGGGGTCCCGTGTTTTCGCAAACTCCCACACAGCCATGGGCTGGGGCAAGGGCAGAGGCCGCCACGCAGCCGTCGTCGCTGCTGAAGCCGCGCTGGTCGGTGGGGCCGTCGTTGGCGCAGCCGCGGTCCCTTGGCGTGGTTCTTGGAGGTTCATGGGTAGCTATAAGTAGGGTTAGAAGTACCCTAAAGAGGGTTAAGTATAGTGACCATACTTGTAACCCTAATTTTCACTACCCATGAACCTCCAAGTTGAGGTTTGAAGAGGCTTCTTGGGCCCAACTGCGAGGTTTGCCCGAGGAATGGTGTCCGGCCCTGGTCCTTGTCTTGTGTTTCAGCCCCAAGGATCCCCAAGGCGACCAAGGCGACCGGCTTGAACCGTAGAACTTTCTGGGCAGTGAAGGAGCAGGTAAACATGCTGCTATGAAAGGTAGGTAGACTCTAACCTGATCATCTACGACCCCACCCGCCCCCGATGACAGCTGCCGTCTGAAAGTGGACCGGCTCTCATGCCTGAAGTTGGATCCCAATCTTCCTAGGTAGGATAAGGGGGACCCTTAAACGGGAACCCTTCTTGACCCTCTTCTGGCTCTCTTCAGGACCTACGTTATTCGAAGGGTCTATATCCTGAAGGGTCCCCCTAATCCTATCCCCTACATCTGCAACATCCAACATGAGGTCGCCACAGCTGCATCCCGTCCACGGCCTCCACGCACCGAGGTTCCTGCCAAAGACGTTTCCTAGCAGGGTTTTGGGTTTAGGGTTTAGGGTTTAGGGTTTAGGGCCAGGGTCAAGAATGACTTACCGAATGTTGATGCTTATTCTTCCATCTGAGTGCGGACCTTCTCTTTGGGTCTGATGCCCTTTTATTGTATAGCGACCATCTACATTGCTGCTTGATAAGCCGATATACGGGAAAGCCGCGCACTTCCTTCTGACACCCTGAGATATGGGGCTCCGTATGTATTTATCGGAGTTCCAACAGGGGTCATGGGTTCCAGAGCTGCAGGTGGTGGTGGTGCAAGGCGCTGGGGCGCCTGCAGCTGCGGCGCCCGTTGTGGTTGTGGCCGGCAAGGGCAAAGGCAAGGGCAAAGGAAAAGGCCGGCTCAGCCCGACATCGGAAGTTTGTTTGTGCAGGTTATGGGAGCATCTGCTTGGAGGTTCGAGGGTAGGGATAAGTAGGGTGACATGTACCCGAAAATAGGGTTATAAGTCTGTTGATTACTACCCATGAACCTCCAAGTGAGTGTCGGAAAGTGCTCGCTTTGGAGTCCAACAGGCGGCACAAAGAAACCCGCAGCCAAAGCCCCAAACCCTAAACCCCAAAGCCCGAGATATCTGCCGGCTGAAGCCTTCCCAGCACTGAAGGCAAAGGCAAAGGAAAGTGGAAGGGCCCCGCGGTCCCTCGCTTGGGGATTTCGGCCATCGGCATCCCAGCGACCGGCATCGAGCTGCAGGATGTTAATTGTTGTCTTGCTTTTTTTTTTTTTTTTTGGGGGGGGGGGGGAGGTTGGGCGTTTCTGGCCCTAAACCCCAAAATGCAAGAAGGATCTGGCTTGATTTATCGGGTGTCGGGTCTCGCACATGAGGGGCTTGGGGTAAAGATGACCGTCTAGGGGTTTGGGCTTGACCCCTCCTCATCTCCCGTAGTAGTCGTCGTCGTAGTAGTAGTAGTAGGAGGAGGAGGAGCAGCAGTTGTTGTTGTTGGTGGTTTGCGACATCCGTATCTAAGGCTTTGCTCTACTCTCTGAGGCTTTGCTGAGTGAAAAGTAAAAGGACATGAGGTTCTCCTTATTGGGAGTGAAAGATATACCCCACAAACACAAACTGCAGTGGACAGAAGTTGGCCTTACACCATCTATACTCTGGAGTCTAAAAGGGCTCAGGACAATTATCGGCTCTTGGGGCCATGGTTGAAACGATGTCGGGTTTGGAGGCGGCAAAGTCCCCGACCTGCCTTCGCATTCTGGCAGGGCGGCGTGACTTACTTCACCATCGATGTCCTTCCAGAACGCGCTACCTCCACCTATCAAGTTCGGAGGACCGGGTTTTGTGGAGCGTCCTTCAAGAAGTGACTCTTATTTCTCTAGGAGTCCTAATAGTGCCGTGTTTGCTTTTCTTCAAGGGAAGGGCTAGGATCCCATAGACACCTAATGAACCCCCAGGTTGCTGCTGTAGAACCACACCGCAAAGGCTTAGGGCTGGGGATGAAGGGATTCTGGGGCTTGGGTTGAGGAAGCGTTCATGTAATGGGAGTGTATGTAACGCAGACGCATGGGGTGAACCCCTCCACAACTATGGATCCAGCCCGATTCACGAACTTATGGACTTTGGTTTAGGGTTTAGGGTTGAGGGTCTTCCTTACCTTGTAAGCTGATTTGGAGCAACAAGAAAGAATGCTCGACAAAATCGGTAGTTCGGGCCCCATGTAGCAAGTGCCACCAACGAAGACATCTCATGGAGGGGCGTGCTGCGAATCTCATGTGAACATCTGTCTCGCTAGCAAAATGCCCGAAGATGCGAGAATTTGCCGGAACAGAATCATAGAGACAAGTTCACCAAAACAGCGCAACACTTTCGGCCGCTGAGATAAAGAAACCTCGCGAGCAAATTTTCGAGGGTAGTCCACGATACTCTGCTTGGAGATTCATAGGCAGTTAGAAGTACCTTAAAGCGGGTTGTAAGTACATAGAACCCTACTTATAACTACCCATGAACCTCCAAGTACACGGGGTTGTGAATGCTATCATCATGAATATGCCGGACAACTTTCCCCAAAGTAGAGGGGAGGGGAGCCACAAACCACCGATCTATTCCGCGTTCAAGGTTGCTTGCGAGAAAGGGGCTTTCACTGGTCCACTTTAAACCGCATGTGCAACGTAAGCCCGAGTTAGATGAGTTCAATCCCGTAAAAGCTACAGTTCAAGCACGCATCTAACTCCCCCAGGAGATATCGCGAGTTTGATGGGCTGCGTGCTGAATTGCAAAACTTGGCACCGGGTTCCATGATCAACAGCCCCTCGGATGTGGATGCTTTTGTGTTCTTGGAGGTTCAAGGGTACTTATAAGTAGGGTTATAAGTACCCTAAAGAGGGTTAAGTATAGTGGCCATACTTATAACCCTACTTATAGCAACCTCTAAGTTGGGTGGTCTTGGTGTACTTGCTTTGCCCTTGACTCCCATGTGAAGCAGAAGGTGCCCTCATCATCACCTGGCATCTCTTAACTAAGGGTGGAGTTAGCCAGTAAGGTTGAGGAGTTCGGGTTGAGGTACGGGGTTTAGGACACCCTTAAACCTTAAACACAAGAAGCCTTAGCCCTTTTGGGGCCCAAAGACTCAAACTTGGAGATTGGCTCTCCCTCCAGGGCCTTCTTTGGAGTCAGGAGCGACAGAGCGACATGGTTGATGCCCTGAGCCCTAAACCCTAAACCCTTTCAACCCTGAAAGGTGGGGCGGGCTTTGGGGTTTAGTGTACGTGCATGTTCAAAGGGTTGACCGGGCTTTCTGACGTGAATTGTTTCGGAAGTCCGTGGGACAGGGGAAGGAGGAGGGAATCCCTGAGTCGCCTCCACGCACTCTAGAGGTCGGAATAAAGAACTAATGGTATTCCCTTGTAGTATACTATAGTAACCCCCAAAACACTTTTCTAAGTATTCAGGCCCCTAGATACGTCGGCTTGAGGTGACTTTCCCCCGAAGCACCGCTTCTTCGGCTGCGAGGGTGAGCGGCTGGAGGCTAGACCGACCACATGATCGCCATAGTTAAGCCTCTTAAGTCCTAAACCCTAAACAGTAGTCCTAAACCCTAAACCCTAAACCCTAAACCCTAAACCCTAAACCCTAAACCCCCCCAAACCCCCCTAGAAACCCTATAAACCCTCCCAGCCATGCATCCTGGAAGCCCGAAACCCAGGCTTAGGGCCTCTTACAACTGCAACCGGGGGAACAAAGAAGTGCATGAGGGCTAAGGTCTTTAGGGTTTAGGGTTTAGGGACCCAATTTAGGGCCCCATCTTTGGGGGGGGGGGGGGCCTTTTTGGAGAAGGATCCTTGCATCGCTCTGTACTGAGATGCAAGCTCAGCAGTTAGGGTTTAGGGTGTAGGAATTAGGGGTCAGGGTTTAGGGTTTAGGGTTTAGGTGCGCGATGGTTGACATTTCAGGGCTCTGAAGAGAAGCCAGCCCCTCTCAAGCAAGGCCCGGCGAGTGGGCCTGGAGAACTGGCTGAAGCTGCGCTGATTGTGGTAAGTGATAATATCTGGGCTTTAGGGCCTTGAGGGAAACTCTAAACCTTAAACCCTAACTAAACCCTAAAACCCTAAACCCTAAAACCCTGAACCCTAAACCCTGGATACTCAAAGCATGACAGAACCCAAAGCTGCAGTCCAGCCCAACTGCCACCCAGGCAGCAGAAGGAGGCACCATAAGGTCGTAGGGTTTGGGACGTTCCCCCTTTTACTAACAGTCCGAAAAATAGCGATTAGAGTATCCCCTATTATAATCCCTATTAAGGGGAAGATCCCAACGTCGGGTTCATTGAGCTTTGCACAGCCAATGCAGGGCCCGAGAAGTGAGAAGTGGGTTTTGGATGGTTTAGCAGACAGAGATCCACTCCGAGAGTACCGGCAAGCACGTTCCGGGTCCCGCACACAGCTTGCCAAAAGAAGTCTTATGTAACCAATGGTTTAGGGTTTAGGGTTTGGGGTTCAGGGTTTAGGTTTTAGGCTTTAGGGAGATGTTGCTGGACCTGTCCAGCATGTCCAACTTGGCAAGGAAGCGCACGCTCAACGACCCCAAGTCCAGCGGCTCAGCGGAAGTCAGGGATTGCCAGCATGATGTACTCCTGGTTTAGGGTTTAGGGTTTAGGGTTTAGGGTTTAGGATTTAGGGTTTAGGGTTTAGGGTTTAGGGGCCCCAAGGGAGAACGGGAGGGGAGGGCTGCATTTCGATACTTTGCTCCCACTTCAAAACCCTGATCCCGGTGCCCTGCATCCTGGTCTCTAACCTTAGTGGTACCCTTCTACCCTGCACATAGGACTTCTGTTCCCTAAGCCAAAAAAAGGGTTGCGAAACCTAGCTCTCATTCGTTTGCGACAGGTCCGATGGGTGTCTCCCTCAGAAGTCTCCTTCCAGTCTCCACCCGAGGCAGAGGACCGTGGTCCCTGCAGCTGCGGAACTTCCTCGAAGTTGGCCAGGCCCCGTTTGCTATGAAGTTTCGGTGTATGGTTTTGCAGGTTAAGGGTGCTAGAGTTATCATCTAAGTTGGCACCTAGACACAAAGTAAAATCTACCCAGTAATTCAAGGGCAGAGGTCCCCATTTAAGGGTACACAGCTTTATTCTCGAATCTTGCTGGGGAGAAGCGTGTCAGTGTCTGGAGAACGTGGGAATGGCGGTGGCTTTCAAAAACTTTGCCTCGCGCTGCCAGGCATGCTCATGGCCTCACAAGAATCTTCTAGGTAGGCCCCTTGGGACATTTTCTGTTTTCCTTTCTTGGGTGTAAGAGGATCATACTCAACAAACATGCTTTCAGAGGGTTTTAAGGGCCATCCTAGTCTTCTTTTGGGGAGTCTTATGCCATTTCTGCGCAGAAGGCCGCAGGCTAGCAAGGCTATTCCCGGGACGACCCGGGTTAAAAGGTCCGCCAATGCTCGGTCCTTGGGGACCTCGCGCTGCCCGATTTAATGGCTACCGCCAGTGCCGCCGACCCCAGATTGAAGTTGGGGCTTGCTATGCTGGGTGAGCCTGTCGGTTTTTTTTTTTTTAGGATTTGTTTGGGGTTTCTTGCCCTGTGGGTGTCCGGAGTCCTTGTGGGGGCCATCTGCCCATTGGTCAATGTGTGCGGATATCTACAATGTAGGGGTTCAGGGTTTAGGTTTGGGGTTTAGGGTTTAGGGTTTAAGCTGAGCTTATTGCGCAGCTTCTATGTCCTTATGCAATCCAGAATGAAGCTTTAAGTGAATTTTTCAAGCCAGCATGGGCGTTTGTCAGAAGCGTCACAGTTTGGGTACTGGCCATCTTGCAAGCGTCTGTATGAGCCCGCATTGTTAGGGCATAAGGGGGTTTACGAAAATAGGGGACCCCGAATATAGACCCCAAATAGTAGGATCCCTTGCAATAAGGACCCCAACAACATACCCCTAATATCGTAAACCCCCATATGTTCAGGGAACAATCCAGGTGCACACGCTCCCCGATGTGACCCCGCTGCCTCACGCCAGCGCGCCTGCCTGGGAGGCTGCATGGAGCGAGGACGCTTCAGACCACCATGGGTTTCGGCAGTGGATTTCCAGTGAGGTCTGGTCTGATAGGGTTTCCAGCTTCGTTTGGTGAGGATTTCTCTTGCGCGTACCCTGCTGATGCTTTGCCCCCCTGCCAGCCGCACGCGCCGGAAACAAAAAGAAACGGAGAAGCCTGAGCCCTTAAAAAGCATGAAGTACAAAAGAGAGAGAGAGAGAGAGAGAAAGAAAAATAATACTAATGAAATAAAACTTCTTGAATCCCTGTAGAACCCCAAATAAGGCCTGAATTTTACACCTTGACAAGGAAGGTCAACTCCTCCAGATCACTGTGCCCGCCGGGGTAGCTGCCGGTGAAACGATAGCGGCGCCTCGGCATAGACCCGAAGGCTTCAAGAACCCCATTAGAGATAACGGGGTTTGGGATTTAGGGGTTTAGGGTTTAGGGTGTTTAGAGAGTTCTGGCTCCAGAAGGGCTAGCCCCCGGAACTATATCCCTTGAACTGTCTGAGGGTGAGGCTAGGTGGCTGAGGACGTGCGGCTGGTCGCTATGGCGTTGGTGAACCCTAAACCCTCGACCCTACGAGTGCGAGAACGAGTTTGTTTAGGGTTTAGGGTTTAGGGTTTAGGGTTTCGGGTTTAGGGTTTAGGGTTTAGGGTTTAGGGAGTCGACCCCTCTGAGTTTCTCTGAAGCTCCATCTTGGAATTTCAGAGTTCAGAATCCGGAGACCCAAAGCCCTAGAACCCCAAACCGCGCCATGCTGCTGCCGAAAGGTACAGCGTGAGCGATGGGACCCTAATCCTAAACCCTAAACCCTAAACCCTAAATCCTACACCCTACACCCTAAACCCTAAACCCTAAACCCTAAACCCTAAACCCTAAACCCTAAACCCTAAACCCTAAACCCTAAACCCTAAACCCTAAACCCTAAACCCTAACCCTAGGGTTTTGGGGCACACTGCTGCCGGTTCAAGCTGGCCACCTAAGGAGCCCTGCGAGAACCCAAAGGTGCCTGTAAGTTTCGGGTTCCTAAGGGAGGGTTTAGGGTTTAGGGTTTAGGGTTTCGGGTTTAGGGTTTAAGGTTTAGGGTTTAGGGTTTAGGGTTTAGGGGTCAAGGGGTGTATGTAACCCAAGGTTCCCTAATACTCCCCACTCCTCTCTAAGGCTCCCTCAGCTTCCCTAAAATTTCCTTGGCACCTACCCCCCTGAACCCTCCCTCTCTTAAGAAATCTTGTAGGGATGAGGGTTGAGGGGTTTGGGGGTTTCGGGGTTTAGGGTTTTGGGTTTAGGGGTCCAAGTGTTCCGCTCTCAACTAAAGCATTTGGAGCCTTGGCAGTGGGTGGGGCTTGAAGGTCTCGGTCCCGGATGGGCGCCAGCTGACCTGCACTCTGCCAGCAGCTGGGCTGTGTCACAGCAGGGTACCGTTTTCCTTTTTTGAGGATACTTAAACTCAGTAAGGAATCGAAAGTAGAATTTTTTATATTGCCCCAAGCATGAACTAGATAAGGGTGCCTCAATGCCGAGGCTGGCTACTCGGCCGGATCGCCGCTGGAAGTCTGGTTTGAGCCAAGCACGGGTACTCTCAGTCCCGTCGTCTGACCATTTAGGTATGTCCCCAAAAAATAGGGGCGCCCTCTCATGGTCTGACGTGAGAAATAGCTGTAGATCTCCATATTTGGTGGCTGCCAGCTTATATGGAGTTTTCTCACACCAGACTGATTCTTCGTCTCAGCACGAGATGCTGGTGTTCAGAAGTGATCCGCAACAACCTGTGCCTTGATGTAGATGTGCTCAGCTGTTGTTGGACGCTGCGCGCGATCTGCTCATGCACCTGGACATAGGCGCCTGAGCTTCATCGTGGCTCCTAGTCCTTATTGGAGACAGACACAAGTACACATGTAAATCACCAGTGGCCCGGGAGCATGGTGGTGTTCTGTCACAAGCTGGGCCAGCAACGGGCCTGGCCTCTCTGCTGTCCGGAAGGGGCAACAGCAGGTCGATAAGTTGGTGGCTGGCTTGCCTGCGAGAAGAAAACCTGGTGTTGCAGTACCGAGCCGCTAAGCCCTGAACCCGAAGCGCCCAAAGTCCAGAGCCAACGCCCTGCAAAGACCAGACTTTTATCTCCCTGTTCAGGGTACTTTCCTGTTCAGTGCACCCTAAACCCTAAACCCCAAGCCCTACTTATAACTACCCGTTCGAACCTCCAAGTTGGGAGTTGAGGGCCTACATTGCCCCAAGAGGATCCTTTGCAGGAAGATTCTTCAGAGGGTTTTAAGGGCGAACCCAGGGAGGTAGGGCCGCGAGTTCAGCGTCTGAACTTTGGTTTCGCATAAGGGTTTAGGGTTTAGGGTTTAGGGTTTAGGGTTTAGGGTCCTAAACGTGCAACTGGTGCCTCCAGGCGACGAGGAGAGCGATGATTCGGCAAGGCCGGTTCTCTAAATGATGGTCCTTTCGGGGTTTAGGGTTTAGGGCTTAGGGTTTAGGGTTTAGGGTTTAGGGTTTAGGGTTTGGGGTTTAGGGCTGATGCGCTGACTCCGGGTTCACAAGGGTTTCTTGACTTCAGGAGTCTGACTTCCAAAAGGGTCCTGAGTATGAGGATCAGGTTTAGGGTTTAGGGTTTAGGGATCAGTATGACAACGGGAACCCCTTGGATCCCAAACGAGACCGCAATTTGGAGCACTGGCTCCGTGAACGATCTCGAGGTAGCTTGGAACGAGTTGCGCAAGCTCACGGGATGGGTTTTGCATGTGGCTTAGGGTTTAGGGTTTAGGGTGAAATGAGCGTACTCATGATGTCCTATGTTGAGGCAGTACACCCTATAATACCGTGATGAGCATCGCAGGCCCATAATTGGCAGCGAGAGGGAGGAGCTCCTCACGCGGTGACAAATCTCGCCTTCGAGAAAAACCACTCGCGGGGAATCCATGCCAGTACAGTTTCGTGAAGTTTAGGTTTTAGGGTTAAGGGTTTGTACATTGTTACGGCAGCCCAAGAATGTGCCTATCTTCGACTTGAGTTTGCAGCTTTCCAAGCACCCTGTGTGCTTCCCCGAGCTCCTGCCGGAATTAGCACACTTTGAGCATGTGCCGAATTTCCTCGAAAGCAACACATGCATCGCTGCTACGTCTGCGAGCCTCTGGAGCAAGCTATGTTGCGCAGCTGCATGCGCTGCCCGCACGCTTTATCTTGACCGGTGACACATGTGATAATGTCATGTGGGTACTTGGAGGTTCAGTAGGGTAGGCATAAGTAGGGTTAAAAGTATGGCAACCAAACTTAAAGCCCTATTGAGGGTACTTAGAACCTTAATAACGACCCTACTGAACCTCCAAGTAGCGTGTCATGGCGGCTTGTGCCACTGAGAGTTTTGCGAAAGTTCAAGCAAGTGAGCTGCTCAAGGCTCGAAGTTGTCTTGTAGCAGGGGTTCGGATTGGCAGCAGTGTTTTGCTGTTGCCAGTGTGAGACATCCCTATACACTTCTGCGTATGTGCATGTGGACCACCGTGCTTGCTCCATCCTTGTTTTGGACATTGAAGCTGCGCGCACACACATCGTCACAGAGACATGCCACCCACTTTCTCATGAACCTAGTCGCGCCTTAGGTGTGCGTTGCCGAGCTATGGGTGCTGACAGCAGCAAGTTCGTCGACTTCGCGACGCAGCTTTGTCTGAGTCGAGGAAAGCACGCCCTGCCCGATTTGGATTTGCAGCTGCCGAACGAGTCTGCCAGAACAACGACATTGATTTCCTTGGAGCATCTAAATGTAAACGTACCTGAGTGGGATTCCGCGAATGACCGTTTCTGGCTCAAAGCAATGGGCCTGGCACTCGATTCTCGAGCGCAGGGTGTCTGTCAGACAGTGCAGTCAGCTGGAGGTTCGTTGAAGGGTCTTGTTTGGGCCAATGCTGGCCTACAGCAGATTCATATGCCTTTGGGAGAGCCTCCTCCCATGGAGGCTCAGAAGCCACCGGGTGTAGTTGGCCTTGCGTATGCTGACATCATGGGCTTGCGAGCCACGCTGAGGGAAGCCGGGGTGAACTTCTCCCCAGTGCCTCTGAAAGACCAGATGAGCAACCTTCAGGGTGTGGGACCCGTCGCGTTGCAGTGCACAAGTCCAACAGGGGTGAAGATTTACGCACATGGCATTCGGTCAGAGACCTGGCTGACACCTCGCGGCTGGATGGATTGCACGGCTGCCAGAGATCAAGGGCTCGGCCTGCCCAGTGAAGAGGCTTCCCAGTGCATCTTGGGGCTTTTTTGGGCATAACTTGTGTTTTTTAAGTACTTTAATTCCCAAGAAACAGCTAAAATCGCAATGTTTGCTCGGGGTCCAAGATCAGCATAGGCATGGGTATGCCATATATCCGGCTGCAGTGCCCGGTGGGCAGCACTGAGGGCCTCGCAAGGTTCTACAAGCATGTCTTCGACACCCAGTCAGAGTTTCGCCAAGGGGCCGAAGGACTTGAGTGCTGGGTGCCCATCGGTGTGGGCCAATGGCTGATCTACCAAGAGATTGCAGCTGAAGTGCCTTACGACGGATACCACATTGCCATATATGTAAACCGTTTTGTCAGTGCATACCGGGCGGCCCGGGGGCTCGGAATCGTTTGGAATAACCCTCGGTTCCCGAATCTTACATATGACTCCGAGGATGATGCGATTCGGCATCACGAGTTTCGAATCCTGAAGATGGTAGATCCGGAGTCCTCCCAGGTCTTGTGTGAAGTGGAGCATGAGATACGTGCACTGTCGCATGGCGGCTTCTGTGCAAAGGCATGGCTGGAGCAGGAGCCTGCGTAATATAGGGGCCTTGGTAACCAGAATAGGGGTTTTGGCGGGATATTATGGCATACTTATGTAGGGGAAGATGATTCCGACCCCTGCATAACTCGAATACCCGCTAGCTGCACGGCAGAAGTTTTGAGCTCCCAAGGTCCTCCACCTCATTGCTTGTCACACTTGTCCTGCGCGCCGTGGTGAAAGACCTTGCGAAGCTGCTACCAAGTTGTCAGGGCAGGCATGATGTGTACCAGGCATGCTTCTGAGCCCCCAGGAAATACACGGTAGTTCCCCTCACAAGGAAGTTTTTTTTTTTTTTTGGGGGGGGGGGGGGGGGATTCTTAAGCAAGTTGTCGTCAAAACTACCCATGAACCTCCAAAAACCCGTCTCGCAGCTCAAGCCGCAGCCACGGCATGCCCATCCAAAAGTTGTGCACTCAACTGGCATTGCTCAATTCTTTAGGGTTTAGGGTTTAGGGTTTAGGGTTCCAAAGGGCAGAAGCACGGCACGGCTGCTGCCCGACCGCGGGTGCGTTTCATCTAGGAGATAGTTGAAAGGAAAACTGCTCCGCTGCTCGAGATGAACCCACAGAGCCCAATACCCCCTTAATGAAGCAATATTCCTTAAACCATATAGGGATCCTTAGTATGATTTAAGGAATATTCCTTGATTAAGGGGTATTGGGCTCTTTGGGAATGGCTGGTGACCAGGCGCTTGGGTCATGTCCAGCGGGAGGTATAGATTATCCGATCTGCCTAGCCCTTTGTCCTCGAATCCTAACCTTAGATCCTTCACGTGAAATTAATGGGTAGTGAAGTAGGGTTCCAAGTATGGCAGCTACACTTTTAAGCATACTAAAACCTTCGGGTTTAGGTCCTAGGGTTAACCCCTAACCTAACCCTTCTCCGTTAAAACACTGACATGAACGTGCGACTTGGGAGTAATCTTTAGATCCCTCTGGGAATACACAGAAGCCGAGATCAGTATTTTGGATCAAAGATCCTAGTTTGCTGGGCACTCTCGAATCCAGATCTTGGACCCAAGCTTCAAGATAGTGCCGGTTAGCAATCTTGGGGTACATATATTTGGTACCAGTATGTTCAAGATGCCCTAAACCCTAAACCCTATAAGTCAGTTTCGGCGGGGTCTCAGATTTGGATGCCAGAGCCCCCAGCAATCTTGGAATTTCGGACCCCAAAATGCTGAGTTCTGCAAAGTCTTCCGCATGTTCGTCTTGAACGCACACGAAACAGTTCTGAGTAATGCATTCTCCAACTCACACAATGCTGTTTGCACATGTGCTTCTAGCAGCAGCTGCAGTCTTGAGCGCATGCTCAAAAGCTGGCTGACGCAGATATTCTATCTCATGCGCATCACGCGACGGTACTTGTGTCTAGGAGTAGTGGTTCTTGTTTCTTCGTGGCATGTGCCTGTTTGTTTTTTTGAAGTGGCCATTTTTATGGTAAAACTTAAGATTCGTTTCTTGCGTTCCGGAAACCCTGCGAAATGTGTGTTCTCAATCCATCGCAACTGCCCTTGAAATTCTTAGATGTCTGAAAAGAAACAACAGAGCAAATTTAGATTTTGAGAAGCTTGGAGGACGTAACTTTGAACGACGCCCAGATGCCATGAGAACACGGGTTCCTCCTCACTGCCCCAGAGACCCCAATACCCCTTGATTAAGGAATGTTCCTGAAAATCTACTAGGGTTCCTGATACGGTTTGAGGATGTTTGAGGAATATTCCTTGAAAAAGTTATATTGTGCCTCTGGGGCATTGCCAGCTTGAAAATCCGCGTTTCAAAGGAGATGTTATAAAGGCTTACTGCCGATTCTAGTGAACTTCTTTGCCTAGGTACGGAGAAGAATAGGCCAGGACTTCGCAGCCTTCAGGGTTTACTGGGCTGCATACCTCTTGGTTTGCAGTTTGGGGTTTTGAGTTTAGGGTTTGGGCTTAGGGCTTAGGGCCTCGGGCCTAGGGCCTAGGGCTTAGGGTTTACTCACACGAGAAGTGCAACCCAAACAAGACCATGGTTTAGAGAGCTGACCACATGAAAGCTGCTAGCATGTGCGATGGCACGCTGATGGGCATTGCATGTTCTTTAAGGGTCTGGAGTCCCATACATATACATATACATATACATATACATATACATATATATATATATATTACATATCTATATATCTATATATCTATATATCTATATATATGCATATATACATATATGCAGATATATATACATACATATACATATACACACACACATATATATATATATATGTTTAGATATACATATATGAATAAGGGGGAACATCCCAACAGAAACTGCAGAAGTGAGCATCGCAGGCCCATTGCTGGCCGCGAGGGGGAAGAGCTCCGCACCCGGTGGCACATCTCGCCTTCGAGAAAAACACATGCGCGCGTAAAAATCTCACACTCTCCACCAGCGGCTTCGTAAAATTTTTCATTGGGTTGACAAACCACAAACCCTAAACCCTAAACCCCAAGCCGAGAATGTGTCCATAGTCGGCTTGCAGCTGCATCTTTCCCATTGCCCTCGTGCACTTCCACGAGCTTCTGCAGGGATCTGCGGGGACTAGCACGTCAGGACTCCCTTTTTAAGCATCCCTGAACCTGAACCCTAAACCCTGAACCCTGAACCTGAACACTAAACCCTGTGTTTTTTCAGTATAGGTATTTCCCCAGGACTGGGCTCTCGCAGTCGACTGGGCCAAGAATTTCTATTTTGCACCAAGACCGTCAGCTTGAAGGATTACCAATCTTTTCCGCCTCTGATCCGTAGTCATCTGTCTGGATCAGGGTCCCTTTTAGGGTTTGTCTTAAAAGGCGGCTAGGCCCCAGAGTAGTTCCCTGTTTTAAGGGTTTAGGTTCCCTTATAAGCCCCTGTAAACCAAAAAGGGTACCCTTTTTATTGCTAGGTTTCTCTTGGGTCTATCTAGTATTATAATGATGCTGAAAGGATTATATGAATGATGACAGTATAAGCACCCAGAACCCACGCTTCGCAGCCCCCATGCCGGCTCCCAGGGCTTTGACAGCGGCCCCCAAGAAGTTGCGTGATCCGAAACTAGAATTTGCACAACAGATCCGAAATTAGAACTTGCAGATATTTTCTGACATTCCCTCCCAAAACCCTCAAAAGCTGCCCCTCACCCGAAACCACTGTCGGTACCCGCCCCCCCTGCCCAAGAACTAAAGACGTATCTTCCAGTGGCTGGGAACGGGCTCTCTAGAACGACACGCAACACTTCTCTTCGGGCAATGAGTGCTCGATGCTGGGGCGATGGCGGCTACCCGTGGTTGTCGATCTTAACATGCCAGGAGCGGTTGCTTCAAGTTGCGGGGCTGGGCATAGCACCCCCCTGAATAAGGCGTGCCTGTAGCGATCCCTTCTTTCCTCAGCTAACGGGTATAGGAAAGTCTCATATGCAGTCGTCCTTTCGATCAGGGCTGCATGGCTAGCCGGGCACTTTGAGGTTCATGGGTAATTATAGGGCTTGAGGTTGTCTAGGGTTTAGGGTTAGAAGTATGATAGCTATACTCATAACCCTACTTAGGGCACTTGTAACGCTACTTGCTTCTACCCATGAACCTCCAGGAAGCCCACCACCTACTAGGAAAAGCTAAAGCACAGGCGGAACTGAAACTTTCCCTAAACCCTAAACCCTAAACCCTAAACCCTAAACCCTAAACCCTAAACCCTAAACCCTCACCATACATCTTCCCCATGAGCCCTAGAGCGCAGCTCTGCGCGTTGTTGGCAGCTTCGGGGATAAAGCTTCAAGGACCCAGAGCCCAGCCCTCCCCCTGAAATCAAGGAACACTCGCTTTACACCTTAAGTAGTTCCGGTTTAGGGTTTAGGGTTTAGGGTTTAGGATGTAGGGTTTAGGGTTCAGGGTTGCTGCTGTGTGAGTTCACTAACCCTCAACAGGATGAAGCTCGGGTCAGGCTTTGTGAGACCATGACGTGCAGATGCGTAGATAGGTTGCCGCAGTCGAGTTGAGGAGTTTTTCTGGCACCGGCTTACTGCTCACGTCCGCGCTCATAAGAAAAGGTTTGGGGTTTAGGGTTGCGGGTCTTCTTGTTAGAAACCCTAAACCCTAAACCCTAAACCCCATTCCGCAAGCTCTCTTCAGCTTGAGCATTCTTCCTTTTAAGGCTCGCGCTTCTCTTTGAAACTTTACTCCGAACTCCCTGCCTCAATGCCCAATTTACCGGGATACGGTTTCTCGACATGGCCTTGAACTCTGTTTCAATGATAAGGAAACCTATCTACCTATGATATAAAGTTATGTATTATACTTTGTTTAGATTTATGTATTTGGGTTATATCTGCACTTCTTGTAAGCAACCCACAGCCGAGACGCTCATAGGGATGTTCCCCCTTATGCTAACAGTCCTGAATCGGCATCATAGTACGCCCTATTACAACCCTTATTCCTGCTAGTATAAGGGAGAACATCTCAAAGTATATTTGTCCTTGCGAAACCAATACATTGGTCAGCCCCATCTGGCCAATGCAGGTGGAGTCTGACCGCGCCTGCTGCAGCTCCCTGTCAGGTGAGGGGGCTTTTCTACTATTAAGAACCCCGAAAAAAATGCAAAAAATCTTCTTCCTTATTAAGGGTAATGTAGGTATTCTTGTTTTTGTTTTGTGGCTCTTCAGCAAGTAGTAGTTTTCTTCTGGTTCACAGGCCCGGGCAGCTTAATGACCAAAAGTGTACTCCCTAAAGATTGAGCCCTGCACTCTTAGCCCGCGGTATGGTCTACGGACTTCTTTGAAGATGCCCTGGACCCTAAACCCGAAATCCTAAACCCTAAACCCTAAACCCCGGATCGAGCCCATCCACGCCATGGAGGCACTTGAACCGAATCGTGCAAACACGGGCAGGTCAAACCCTAGTATTCCCACTAGTCCAGTATCATAGTTACCATGGTACTATTGTATTTTGATTCTTTTGTCTACTATTTTTGTTACTTGTATTATAATACGATTGC